CCGCCGCCGCCGCCTCCTGCATCTCCTCCTCCGCCTCCTCTTCCTCTCTTCCCGAGGCCCGTGCGCCTGTTTGTCCCCAGCCTGGTTTTGGCTTTTCTCTGTGGAGCCAACTCCCCGTGGTCTTCGGCGCATTTCGTGCTGATGTTTGGCGGAGACCCATGCTGCTCTCACTAGAGTCCCCCCGGGAGTCTCGTTCGTCGTAGGCAGGGAGAGCGCAGCGGCTCGGAACTCGCAGGCGTGGGACACGCTAGGGCCCAGGTTCCCCCGCCCGGTGCCAGTCGCTGCAGCTCACACCCTCCCTCCCGTCACTGGGACTTTCCTGCTCTGCGGTAGACGTCCCGTTTTATTGTCTCCAGAAAAAGGGCCCTGAGGGGAAACGTGGACTTAGAGCCACAGTTTTTGAACTGAGCTTTCAGGCTTGAGACGGAAGGAATGATCTCACTCTGAGATTTTATCCTGCTGTAGAGATGGAAGGAGTTCCTCTCAAGTTGTCTCAAGTTTTAACGCTTTAAAGAGAAATCTGCTAGAGAGGAGAAATGTCAAAGGAAACCCGCTTCTCAAGCACGGGAGACCTTCGTTCAAGGGGTTCTCTCTTTGTGTTTGAAGATTGAGTTTTTAAAAAAAATTCTGCGAACTTAAGACTTATTTACTTTATCTATCTATCTATCTATCTATCTATCTATCTAATCTATCATCTTTGGTTTTCAGGTTTGGATTGTGTCTTAAGAATTTGACGTTCTTCTAGTGCCATTAAACAGAAAGTTGAAACGTAGAAGGAGAGTTATTAAAGTACAAAAGCCGTCCTTGGGCATTTGCGAGGTGTCCTGCATTGGGGGATTACTGTGCCAACTCAGGGTGTCTCTCAGCAGAAACTTACAGTGCCTGTGAAGGCCTTGGTTTGCATAGAAAATTAAGTGCTCTGGATGTTTAAAAATCAGTGCAAATACCCTTACAAGTATCTAGCATTTGTATCGTCATTGATAGACGCTGATTTTTACCACAAAACGAAGGTGAGGAAAGGGCCTCCGGGAGAGTTCTTTGATGAGGCCAAGGCTGGGAAGTGATAGAGCCAGTTCTAGAACCTGAGGTCTTCTGATTACTCATTGAGTGTGCAATTCTCACTGTATTATGTTTTAATTTTTAACAGAGTGCGGTTAATGAGAAGAGGCAAGGAGGCTCACCTATAAAATTTAAGAAATACTATTCAATTGCCCCTTGTTTTACTTATTTTTAAGAATTCATTTCTGACCCTTGCAACCTTTTTTAAAATTTTTCATGTTATTTTCTCCCAAACATTGGAAAGTTGAAAAATAGCACGTTTGAACACATACTTACCCCGTAGTTTTAATAGTTATTACCATTTTGCCACATTTGCTTTATCTACCCATTTCACATTCTTTTTGGGTGAACATTCTCAAAACCCACTGCAGATATCATGACAGTTCACACCGAAGTACTATATCCGTGTCAGTTGTATATCATAAAATTGAGGACAATTTTCTATGTAACCACAGTACCACAATCACACTTAAAGTTAAGAATAATTCCTACAATCAAGTATATGTATGTAGTATTCACATTTTCCCAGTGGTTCCCCACATGTCCTATTTAATCGTTTATCAGTATCCAATCATACATTACATTTGTTAGTTTCTTCTAATTTAGTGTTGTTCTCTTTTTTTGTGTGTGATGACATCGACATTGTATTATAAACCACATTCTGTATTTTATTGACAGTGTCCTTCTCTTTGGGTTTACATTGTACCCTCAATTGCTAGTATTCCTTGAGTAGATGAGCCTTAATATTTTTGGCAGGATGACTTCATAAGTCATAGTGTATTTCACATTATACATGCTTGTAAAAATATTGCATGATGAAGTCCTTTCTGCTAAAGGAGAATACCTATTTACTTTTAGTTTTTAGAAACATTGTTCACTCATTGATTGTTGAGTGAGAAAATTTGTCTTGGATACGTCATGACTCACTCTGAGATTTCCCAGATTTCTCTGAAGTGCTTGCTATCATCCATCTTTGCCTTGGTCTTTAGGTTCATCTAATAATTGTGAAATGTCTCCTCTGTCAGTTTTCTTCTGTCCCATCATGGGTAGAAAATAAAAAGTTCTGAGTTCTTAACTGTGTTCAGTGAAAACTAAAAACAAATGAAGAGGATCAGGTTATGCCATCCAAAAATGTGCCACTTTAACATAAGGATTATTTTGAGCAGAAGGCAATTGAGAATCAGTAGGTGTAAGAAGAGTTTTCTGCCCTCCCATTGTCTGCCTAAAGTAGGGCATAAATTTCCTTTTGTGCCATAACCTTCCCCCCTTCTCCCCATACCAGGAAGGAAAGAGAGACTCTTTATCACCTGAAATGGAGCGTTGATACTGAGATGAGTTTGCATAAACAGACCTAACTAAAGTAATCCTTATCTTTCATTATATTTCATTATCTTTCATGTTTCCTACTTTCCTATGATTTGTCTCTCAGTGTACAAATTCCCTTTTCTTTAAAATGGTATGTAAGTCCCTGAGTCTAACTGCTGCTTTGAGTTTTACTCCTTTTCAGTGAACTCTCATGTATGTAAACATTAATAAAAATTGTGCTTTTTCTGTCTTTTGTTAGTTCAAGTTGCAGGTCCCCAGCTACTGCAACCTAAAAGGGTAGAAGTAAAGTTTTTCTTCCCAACACAGACCACAAAGATGATGTCTTCAGTCTTCTATGCCTTTTTGAAAGGTGATGCAATATTTTGTGCAAAACAATAAACTGAAAAAAAGATAAGAAAATGAAGGATAATGCATTAGTGACTATTTCATCCTTGGATTATCCTTTTAGGCAACTAAATCGTTCTTCTGTTTTCTTATTACTTTAGTTTTATTTTTTTAAAGCATAGTTGGGAATAATTGATCTGCAATGGTGAAATCTAAGATGATGGAATAAGCAAAATATTTCAAGATGTAGGAAAATGGAAATCACTAAGGTCCCATAATGTACCTTAGATTTATAAAAGGATTCTGTAGACTCATAGTAATTGTAAGATAGAGTTGTGTGTGTTTTTTTAAAGTAATAAATTTTTCCTTTGCTGTTTGAAGATCTCTGGCAAACAATAAAAGTCATAAAATGTCAGTCTTTACAACTAGAACTGCTCAAGAAAGAAAATAAAAAACTAAAATTGTTTCAATGGACTCTGATAGTATACTGAAGGTTAATAGTTAATTTGGACAATAGAGATTCACTCTTCCAACACACACATTAAACCTGTCTGCCTCTTCTACTATCATGATAGGTTTGTCAGCCTTTTGTACTACATCTCTAATGAATGCAGGTAGTATTTAGAAAATTATTACTTGAGGTTTCTGTTCCAAATTTTTTTGTTGTTACCATTTTTCCCCCCTTCCAAACTTTACCTTCAGAGAGTCTCCATAGTAAAAAATGATTAAATGGGACCCTGCAGGATCAGGGTATAATATTTACCTTTTTAGTGAACTGGATTAAACCAAAAATATTTTTTATTTCAATTGTTTTCATTGTAACATTGCTGCTTTTCTGATTTAGTATATCATGATAAACAATATGTGATATTTGGAATGATGTTCGTTTTGCTGCTTTGTGTTTTTAAACAATGCCTTATACATAATTACTGCTTAATAAGTGCTTTTTTTAGTGTTGTGTCCATCAACTGAATATTCCCTAACAGTTTAAAATTACTACTTTACTCTTTTGGTTGGTATATCCAACATTTTTGACTAGCCAATATAGCTACTATAGTGATTTAGCTGTGCATTTTAAACAGGCTTTGACTTAGTTTATCTACTGTAGCAGTTCTTTAAGTGTGGTCTGGGGACTTGAGATGCTTTCAAGGGCTCTGCAAGATTTCCCTTTACCGCCTGTCTGTCTTGTGAGGCTGAATTTTCTTCAGTTCAACAGAGCAATGTAGTGCAACAGATTGAATGCAGAAGCAGATAAGAGAATCCAGCTGTCTTTATTAAGACAAATGTTAATGAGATTGTAAAAATGTAAAGCAGTGGCACTCTAAATTTTTTGTTTTGGAAAATATAGTTACTTTTCATAAAAATATGTTAATACTTAATGGTTTTGTTATAGTCATTTTAAAGTAAATTAATGTATATTTCTTAAATTTCTTGATTGAGGTTTGTGGACTCAAAGGTGAAGATTCCATCCGTAGAAGTTAATCAACCACACACTTGCTTTTTTTTTTTTGCCAAGTTTAATATTTCTTCAGTATGACAACTTCCTGAATGCTTTTCATTTGAGGGCTGTTAACCAAAGCAGAGATCATTAGTCTACGAAATAATTTGCTCCTTACTTCTAGGCTTTACCACTGTTTTCCTTGTTTTGTGGGTAATTGTTACTTTGGCAAGTTTGAAATGCAAAACTTTGAGAGGGTTGAGGGGCTTTGAGGAGGGGTCTGAGGGTTTTAGGTATATTATAATCCCCATCTTGTGCTTTGTTTACTCACTCAGTTTGCTTTTCCTATTCAAGGTGTAGATTATTTGATTTTCAACTCTACAGGATTGCTGACTGCTGGAAGTCCCTTCTAAACAAAATGAAACATGGAAATGGCTTTTTTAAGTTACATGGGGGAAAATACGTAATAGATCTTCCAACTTTATTGAATAGAAAAATGTAAATAGAAAATTGGCACTACTTTTTTGACACTACATTGTTAGTATTTGTGTTCATTTGAGAAGTTATAACCAAGAGATGTCTTTCTAATCTTTATTGTAGTATTTTAGAAATTATAAAATGTATTCACAGTTACCATATTTCATTGTCAAAACAAATATTTCTTGCCCGGCGGGAGTGGTTCAGCGGTTGAGCATCGACCTAGGATCCGGGAGATTGCAGTTCGATTCCCAGTTCAATTCCCGGTCAGGGCACATGCCCAGATTGTGGTCTCCATCCCCAGTCGGGGAACGTGCAGGAGGCAGCCGATCAATGATAACTCTCTCATCACTGATGTTTCAACTCTCTTCCTTTCCCTTCCTCCCTTTGAAATCAATAAAGATATATTTAATAAAAAAGAAATTAAAAAAACACCCAAATACCTCTTTGAGACGGGTGATAGGTATCATCATCATCCATCCTTTATAAATGAGGAAATTGAGTCTCAGAAAAAGTTGATTTCATTTATTGTACTACTTACTGGGTTCCAGATGCTGTATATATATTTTGTAAGATGTGATGCCTTGGCCTTCCGTCGCTTTAATCTGAGCCTTTCTATTTTGGGATTATATATTCCTTCTCCTTGAGCTAGATAGCGCAGTACTAGCCTGACAGCCTGGCAGCGCTAGGTGGCTCACCAGCTTCTAAAGTTTTTGATCTACTATGTACCTTACTGCATTCTAGAAACTTCTAGCACTATGATAAACCAGCTCTGCATGGGTTGGTGAGAAGTTATTGAAGAGTTTGGAATTGATAAGTGACACAATGAAAGCATTTTAGGAAATTGTTGATTTGGTGGTTCTGTATTACATGGACGAGAGCAAATAAATCTGGATACTGAAAGATCGAGTATAAAGTGATCTTATAATTCTGATACAAAAGCTCTGAGGTAAGGACCTGAACAAATATTTAGTGAATGGAAACTCAAGGGTGGTTGTGGGAAATATTTTGAAGGAAGACTATAAGACTGGGGAATTGATTAGATATGATTAGTAAAAGAAGGGGGCATTGAAAAAAAATTCCAAGGACTTAAGATCAGAAAGATGACAGTTTTTGCCTGGCCTGGCATGGCTCAGCGGTTGAGCGTCGACCTAGGATCCAGGCAATCGGGGTTTGATTCCTGGTCAGGGCACATGCCCGTGTTGCGGGTTCGATCAATGACTCTCTCATCTTTGATGTTTCTCTCTCTCTCTCTCCCCCCTCCTGTCCTCTCTCTGAAATCAATAAAGATTAAAAAAAAAAGAAGGATGACAGTTTTCATATGTAGAAAAAAAAGTGCAAAGGTAGAACTAACTTATTTTTTATTTTATTTATTTTTTTTAATCCTCAGCTGAGGATATGTTTATTGATTGGTTGCCTTCCATACAGGCCCCCACCAGGGACTGCACCTGAAACCTAGATATGTGCCCTGACTGGGAATTGAGTTCACAACCCTTTGGTTTATGCGATGATGCTCCAACCGAGCCACTTGTCAGAGCAGAAAAAATTTTTTTTTAAATTGAGGTAAGATTCACATAACAAAATGCACCATTTTAAAGTGTGTAACTTGGTAGCATTTATGAATAATGCTGTAGAACTAATTTTTTGGGGGAAGTTTTGCTCACTTTGGAAATATGGAATTTAATATTGAAATATTAAATATCCATATAGCAGTTCTCAGCAATTAAGAGATGAAGGACTGGGAAGTAGTTGAGAAGTTAGCATTAGAGTTTAATATTTGATAGCCCGCTTCTGAAAACTGATAGCTAAAACTATGGAATTTATTATTAGATAATAATTAGGAAGCAATTTATGTAGGGCTGAAGTCTAAGCTTTATGGGAAATTGGATTTTACATTATTTAAGGAGGAAGAGAATATGGAAAATCTGTAGAGTTTAAAAGGAGGAGGTGGGGCCTTGGCTGGGTTGCTCATCAGTTGGTTGGAGCGTCTTCCCCTACACCAAAAGGTTGTAGGTTTTATTCCTGGTCAGTGCACATACCTAGGTTGGGGTGTGCTTATGGGAGGCAACCAATAGATGTTTCTCTCTTTGTCTTTAAAAATCAATAAGAACATATCCTTGGGTGAGGATTTTTTAAAAATCCCTCTGTTGGCTTTCCATTGCTGTTAGGATAAGGACAAATTTCCTTAATTTGATCTCGAAGGTACAGCTTTGTTTGACTTCTATCTTAACCTCCTACCACATATGCCCTTGCTTCTCTTTTCCAATCACACTGATTCCTTTGCAGTTTCTCATGTTTGCTGTGCGATAGATCTTTTGTACATGCCGTTTCCTGCCTGGAATGCTTTCTTCTCTTTCCTGTGTTTCTAGTTAACTACAACTCATTCTTCAAATAACAACTTCTCACTCCTTTCTTAAGGAAACCAGTTTTGAGTATGTGAACTAGACCTAGTTTCCTTACTCTGTTTTTAAATTCCATGTCCATCGCCTTCATAGCACTTACCATTGTCAATTTACATCTCTTTGAGTGTTTGTCCCTGTTTCTACTACATAAACTTCGTGAGTGTAAGACTCATGTCTTAATTTTGTTTTAAATATATCTTTATTGATTTCAAAGAGAGGAAGGGAGAGGGAGAGGGAGAGAAACATCAATGAGAGAGTCATTGATCCGCTGCCTCCTGCATGCCACATGCTGGGGATCGATCCCAAAATCCTGGCATGTGCCCTGACCAGGAATTGAACCTCGAGCTCCTGGATCATAGGTTGATGCTCAACCGCTGAGCCATGCCAACTGGGCCCGTGTCTTAATTTTTGATCATCATTATATTCTTGTCTTGCACATGTTTAATAAGTATGCTTTTTAAATGAGTGACCTTCTGACTCATTGGATCTCTGGTAACCAGAACTGATAAATAGTACATCTTCAATTTAGATTTTTGTAAATTTTGTTTTTTGAGCAAATACAAAATTTTAGATTTTACCATTCGCTCATTCTAGTTTGTTGAGATCTTTAGAAAGCCTTGTTTGTTGTTTAACATGCACTATACTATTTACTTATCTGTAAATTTAATCTGCACACAGTTTAGTCTTTGTCTGAATCATTGCTATGAA